AAATTTCACTGCAAAATGGAAAAATGAACAGCAAAAGTATTCATACATGTCGGTTGGAAAGCGACTCCTCCTCGGCCGTTTCACCGATTCGCCTCAAAATCGCTCCACATCATCTCAACACATGTACCTTCAAAATGACCTCAGGGATTTTTGATCAGTGAAACATTGTTTGAGCAGCGGAGCGGCAAAATGTGACCTTTTTTGGCCGTTTTTGACAACATTAAATTTGCTCCCGTTTGCACAAAGTCTGATTTGCAAAAAACATTAATACATTGTTCAACTCTAGGGTCTAGGTCGTTTTAAAGTGAATTAATTCAAATTGACACATTAGCGCCCCCTACAGACTATTTCAAAGTTTTAGATGGGCATTTTCAAATTTAGTTTTTTCAAAATGTTTGAAATTTTGCACATAAATCTGTTTTGCCCTCTTGATTCAAAAAGTCAATTGGGTCCAAGGTTTATTTTTTACCCTGTTGCCGTGGCGACGAGAAACGCTCCCCATTCATTGCAAATGTACACCTCACACAAACATCAAACCAGCCTCGGCTGTTTCACCGATTCGCCTCAAAATCGCTCCACATCATCTCAAAGCACATGTACCTTCAAAATGACTTCAGGGAAACTTTTCCTGCGTCAGTGTTAAGTCTGATGTCATTTGTTACCTTCAATAGAGCGGTCTCTGTGCTGTGGTGGGGTCTAAAACCAGACTGGAACATATCAAAAGAGTGATTGATTATTAAAAATTCTGTAAGTTGTTGATAGACAACTTTTTCTAGAATTTTACCCATGAAAGGCAGATTTGAAATGGGCCGATAACTTTTAAGTGCCAAGGCATCCAGACTCCTCTTTTTTAGGAGGGGTCTGATGACTGCCGTTTTCAGGGCCATTGGGAATGTTCCAGATTCAAGAGACATATTTACTATATGCGTGAGTGAAGGTAAAAGACTGCTCAGAACAGATTTAAGAAATCTAGGAGGTAATACATCCAGGCTACATGTAGAAGAACTCAGACTTGTAATTATCATTTGGACAGTTTCATTTTGTACTGGTGTAAAGTGTGTCAGCCCAAAAAGCTTCACTGGCTGTTGGATTGTAATTTCTACTGTGGAGGTGATGGCATTTTTGATGCCTTGGACTTTGTCATTAAAAAACTCTGCAAACTCATTACATTTGGTTTTGGAGGTAAGCTCTGATGGCATCTTAACAGGGGGATTTGTCAAATTATTTACTGTTGAGAACAGAACGCGTAGATTGTTACTGCAACCTTCGATTGTTTCGGAAAAATAAGTTTCCCTCGTTCTACGTAGCACACTGTTGAACTTGCACAATGCATCTTTGAAGATCTCATGGTCAACTTGGAGATTTGACTTTCGCCACTTCCGCTCGGCTCTCCGGCACTCTCTCTTCTGTGCCCTGACAGAGTCTGCTTTTGTCCATGGCGCTTTTTGCTTATTTGTAACAATTTTGACCTTTACAGGAGCAATCGTGTCCAGAACATCCAAAACACTAGAGGTGACAGAGTTAAGTAATTCATCCACAGTAGAACACAACGTGTTATCAAAGTTTATCATCCCCATGAAAAGTTCACCTGTATTTTTGTTTATGTGTCTTCTTCTTCTAACAATTGAGGATTCAGCTCGTGCTTTACTATTGAGACACATATCAAAAAATACACAGAAATGATCTGACAGAGCAACATTGGCCACATTTACATTTGAGATATTAACCCCTTTAGTAATTAGCAGATCGAGAGTGTGTCCTCTGCTATGGGTGGGGCCACTCACATGCTGAGTGAGACCAAAGGTTTCCAGCACAGAGCTCAGCTCTTTCGCGTATCTATCATTAACGTTATCTACATGTATATTAAAATCACCTATGACGACTAAACTATCAAAGTCTGTGCACACAACTGAAAGCAACTCGGTGAAATGATCAGTGAAACTATGACATGACTGTGGCGGCTTGTACACAACAATAATAAGAATAGAAGATTGTTTTTTGTTCTATTTTAAAAGAGACATACTCAAATGAGGAAAATTTCCCAAGAGGTACTCTATGGGAGACAATACAATCTTTAAAAACTGCTGCTGTGCCTCCTCCTCTTTTATTTTCTCGAATTTCTGATTCAAATTTGAAATTTGGTGGTGTTGTTTCTATTAAAACTGCATTTTCTGTATTATGGTCAAGCCAAGTTTCAGTCATAAACATAAAGTCAAGATCATAAGAACAGATAAAATTATTAATTAAAAAGGATTTATTGCATAGTGATCTGACATTAAGCAGAGCAAGGTTAAAAATAATATCAGTGTCAGTGGGTTTAGTTGATTGACTACAAAGAATTGGAATTAGATTTCCTGAGTTGGACCGTCTAACTGCTGTCCTTCTGTTATATTTGTGTTTATTCAAATTAAAACACATTTCTGAGCCGGTGCGAGGAACACACACAGTCTCTATTGGTGTAAGCACCGTTCAGTGGCAGGACTGTCGTTACACTGCCAGACGGACAGGGGTCAGTGTTTGCACCACAGTACTCACCCGGTGCTGGAGTGGAGGAGGAAGGTGGTAGTGGGGGCCGAGAGGCCTCGGATGTAAACAGTCACGCCCCCCTCGGGGAGCACTGAACAACATGGCGTAAAAAGTCCATCAATAAACTGGTACCGTATCTGTTCGGGTGAAGACCATCTGGACGATAGGCCACGTGACGCTTCCAGAACAGGCCAAAGTTGTTCACAAAAACAAAGTTAAAAGTGCTGCATGCAGACTGGAGCCACATATTCAGCGCCACAACGCGACTGTAGAGGCAGTCACCCCGGTTTACAGTCGGGGACTGGACCAGAGATAAAAACACACAACCCGGAGGACTGGAGGAGGCGGAATAGATCCATAAAATGCTTCTTTGTGACCTCGGACTGCTGCAGCTTCATGTCGTTGATCCCCACATGCACGATTACCTTTGAAATGGTATCAGGCAGGGACTGAAGCAGAGGAGGGAGACGGATGAGCAGGTCTGGTACAGTGGCTCCGGGAAAACACTGAGTGACCGCGTTAAAAAAGCGGACGTGTCTCACGATGGAATCTCCAACAATCAAAGTAGTCGGGGCGAAGAGTGGACGTAGCCGCGGAGAGAGCGCTCGGTGTCCATGGCCAGAACCAGCGGGCTCATCCAGGGATGAGTCCGAACCAGGGCGCTGCTGAACACATGGAGAGGAGCGGGGGTGTTGATTCTCAGCTCCGGGCAACCCACGCTGTGTGCACGGAGACGCTGGAGCGGCGTGAGGAGCAGGCTCGGGTCGCTGCTGCTGACCCGGTGAAGGTAAGTGGTGGTGATGCACTGGGGTCAGAGAAGGGGAATGACCGCTCTTTCGTCTGAGGACAGCTTCCTTTAAGAGTGTCTTTCTCGCAGTGGACCTGGATCCACGGACAGCAGTAGAGTTTGCTGCAGAGTCCAGGGGTTCTGCTGAGGGGGCTGGAATGTCAGCGGAGAGGGCTGCATAGCGGTTTGACAGGCTCAGGACATGGGCCACGGCGCTGGATGGCTCCTCGCAGTCCGCAGGCTCTTTATTCCGAACCGGGCACTTAGGTGTAGAACAAGAGGGCCCAGAGCTGACAGATCTCTCCCACACGACAGTGTCACAGTATGCAGCGCTCAGTGACATAAGCCGTGAGTGCTGCCCGCCAGCGACATCAAAAAGTTTGGACACGAGTGACTGTTTATCCTGCAGCTCTGCAGTGAGGCGAAGGACTTCTTTACGGAGGTCTGCAATAGTGGCACGGTCCCTCTCACGAAGCTCCAATGTGAGGCGATTAATGTCGTTCGTGGTCATTGCAGTGTCACTTTCCATGTCTGTGGTGCGCTCGTGGTAGCCTCCGAGCTAGCGCGTTTCGATTGGGTCTTTGTGTTAAAAGACGTGATGCTCTGGAACCATTGCATTTAAGATAATAAAACACTAGAGTGTACAAAAGACACTAATACACCGTAAAAACGTGTTTAAAAGGCTTTAAAAGGCTTAAAAGGGTAAACAGAGCAGAGACGTCAAAAACGCGTCTATAGACCCAAAGTGAGGTATAGCAAGCCCTTATTTGTTACTTATAATGTTGATAATTGGTTCACAGCTGGTAATAAAAAGGTTTGCCATACGTCACTTTGCATGTAATGAGGCTAATTGCGTTGGGCTAGTTTCAAGTTGTACGTTGAAATATAGAAATAAATGCACTTTTAAACGATAATCAAATTTTCCGAGATGCAGCATAGTCCTCAATCAACTTTTTTTTTTTCTGTAACTGAGCCGTGTTGATGGAATAATACTATCCTTTGGCAGAGATTTGCAGTTGGCATTGGACACAGCCTCTCATTACACAGTGGACGCTTACCTGGACCTAAAGGATAATTTCTTCTAACCATAATAGAATGCTCCCCATGGTGAAAGAGACCATAGCGGTGTATTCTCCTGCTGCTTTCTATCATAAAATTACAATGTTACAGTCTCTTTTTCGACAGCCAAAATTGCTGCACTTTTTCCATACGTTGGCCTCAACATCAGCCAACCACAGGCATAATGTATACACACATCCATAAAAAAAAAACCTATTGTGAGAAGGCATTAATGTAAACAGGCTCCTAGCGCCAGTATTGCTAACCAAGAGGGCGCTAATGACAAACACATGTGAGGGGGACACTATTAGTGGTTTGGGTCTCACTCAGGAAGAATGGATGACTGTAAAATGACATTGATCTAAACCAAAGTATATAAGCTGTCATGCTACCATTGCAATAACTTCATATGTTGAAATATAATTGAGAGATTGTCGTCAGAATTATCCAAAAGTATATTTTTTTGGGAAAAGATCTTTGACTACAATAATAAGAGTAATAATAATATAATACATCACACTTATATTGCACTTTTTGGGACACTCAAAGATGCTTTACAAAAAATACTAGACTAGACATATATCTATGCTGCAGTATTATGAGTGATAACTAATACAATGTGAATTACCTGTGATATCGGGTTCAGAAGATCCATCCACCACGACTAAAGGTTGAGTAGAGGTCTTTGTGTCCATCATCATCGTCATGATTTTATCCACCGACAGAGAATCACAAGTTTCACTGGGTTGTAAGCACTGGGAGAGAGAGAGGGAGAGAAGGGAATTATGCACACTTATAAACAAACACTAATGAATGGTCAACAACGAAGGACGTAGGAATCAATCTCTGAATATACTGTACCTGTAATGTGTTTTGTACTATGTACAGTAAATGCATATGTCCTAAAAGTAGTAAAATTCCCAGTGAATGTTGAGCGCATGTAAAGCTGGTGTACCTAACTTCATTTGATAAATAATAAATTTGTTTGTCCCAGTAGAAAAAAAAATGTCTCCTAATAGAAACATTTTTAATCAAACACACAACTCTCTCTGTGTTGAGTGAGAGGACAAATGCCCAAAAAATAACAATTGTAAACTCCTTTGTGACTCTGGTCTGTGAAAGGCGGTAAATAAATAAAGATTACTTACTTACTTAACATGCTGTCTCCATTCTATGCAACAACAAGTTATCGTTCACAAATGTGTTTGAAAGAGCCCTGCGCGTCACTATTTGACACTTTAGGCTGAGAGCTGTGTCAGGGTGGTCCTCTCTTGTTAACTTTTCTGTCAGAAAAGCTGATCTAAAGAAGTGACAGAGGTCTAAAATGCGTGTATGTGAAAACCAGTGATAGACCCATACTGTTGTAAAAGTGAGAAACTAGTTAGATAGATATTATTTCAGAGTTCTTTTGTTGTTGAAAGATTAAGATTAAGGGATCCTTTATTCGTCCCACAATGAGGAAATTTCAGTGTTGCATCAAATGTTACAGTAGAAATGAGTAAATGAACTAACTCCAAATAAAAAAATAAAAAACATCTCTAACTCTAGCATGAAGAACTAACAAGTTTAACATTTCTATCGGTGGCTGAGTAAATAGCACTCTCGCCTATCAGCAAGAAGGTCCTGGGTTCGAATCCCGGTCGGTCCAGGGCATTTCTGAGTGGAGTTTGCATGTTCTCCCCGTGTCTGCGTAGGTTTCCTCCGGGTACTCCGGTTTCCCCTACCACCAAAAATATGTACAATAGGTCTGGCATGCGCCTCCTGTACTGGCGACCCCGCTCCCATCTTTGTGTGGAGTGAGAGACAAAATGCCCAAAAAATAACAATTGTAAACCGCTTTGTGACTCTGGTCTGTGAAAGGCGGTATATAAATAAAGATTACTTACTTACTTACTTACATCTTTAGCATCACTAGTAAAAAAAACTGACTTTAGCATAATAAAGAAGTAAACAATTTCTATCTTTGGCATAATAAGAAGCAAGTATAAAGTACTGTGTATTCTACTGTACGCAATTACAAAGTATGTATAGATCTGCATATGAAAGTTAGGAACCCCAGCTTTAAGAGTAGACTAAAGACAAATGTGTTCGACCTGTCCTTACTATGAACTTTGATTTTTTTCTCTTTGTGATATTGATTTGGGGCACTGTCTCTCCTGTTGTTCAGCACTCGACATTCGATATCCACATACAAGGATATCTAATAACATTTATAGACATTGGTCGTCTGCCCCTTATGGACCAATGCCTCTATGTGTTTTTTATCATTACATTTCCTGTGTTTGAACTACTTAATTCTTTGATCTGGGTTAACAAATCAACAACTTTGTAGAGCCCTTCTGAGATAACTACTGCTGTGATTGATTTAGGGCTAAACAAAATTAAGATAAATTTAATTGAATGGAAGCACATTAAGTCTGTTTCTTGCCAGCTGAATGGCTGTTACGCAAAATCTTCATCCATCTGCAGTAACAGCACTTTTGTTTGTAGAACCCAAGGGTATAGGACGTAAATAGAACCATTGAAAGCTTTTGTACTTGACAACCGATTGTTCAATAACTTGGGGGATTTGCATTGTTGGCCTGTTACATGGAGATTGTCTACATAGGATCTCTCTAACAGCCCTGACAGACCACAATCAAAGCAGTAAATCTTCCAACACTCACCGCAGGGAATGATCCTGGAGACTTTTTAGAGCAGAGAGACATTTCACAGTGGAGGAAGAGCAGAGAAAAGTTGAACTTTGAGCTGAAGTCGAAGCTGAACGTCTTCTTCCCCGGCTGATGTTCAGACGGGTAGAATTTGATGGAGTCGTCCGTGGGGCAAACCGTCTCGATGAGGGAGTGCTCAGAAGGGCTCCGGGGGTTGGAGTTGGGGGAGATGAAGCAGGAGATGATGGTGAAGCTCAGGTCTGGGTCAGATGTGGCAGAGGTGATCTGGAGAACAAAAGAGTTTGAGATCTCACAAAAGAACACAAAATAAAATGACATTTCACATTTCATGAAAAAGTCTGCATCATTTAGCACTTCAATTATGAATATACATGTTTTTTCCTATTGTAAAATGTATGAGGTCTTTGAAAAGCATGTGACCTAAGATCTAAATGTTCACAATGACCAAAGAGAATACACTATCACTACTATTCTATATTTAACTTAGGCAAAGGGAGGATCAAGGCTTAATTGAAAGAGACCTAGAATAGTTGTACAAAAGATTGTAATACCAATGCTTGTAAGTAAGTGGAATTTGATGATGATGTATTTCTGTTAAAGTAAAGGTCAGTCACTTTTCTAATTTTAATGATTGCACGGATGTTTTTGAATGCAAGCACCAGTTAGACCCGCCCCCACAGCTTCCTGATTGGACGTAATGAATTAAAATCCTTGATAGACAGCTGAGGTCTAAATACTCTCCTCCAGCAAATCCTACTGGTAATGATTATTTCAAAGGGAATGACTGTTTTAAATCTATATATTAGGAAAAATGCCTAATAAAGATAATGCTACAGGCTCGGGTTGAGCGGGAAAGGCGCTTCATTTCAGCCTAAACTCTTTCCGTCTTCAAAATGTATTTGTGTGACATTTTTCATGCCCTTTTTTAACCCAGATTGGGAAGCACTTAAATCAGAGATCCTAGAATCATTGATAATATGTTGTTGCTAAACCTTTTTCATCCATTGAGAGAAGGAAAGATGATTAGTGACAAGTAAATCATAATTTTCTTCAAAGTAAATGTTTTTATCCAATTTGAAAATAGACACAATAAGCCATTGACAGAAAAGGGAACGTCTCATTCACTGTTCGAGCCTGAATCAAATGGAAATGCAGGTCAAAATAATTCTGTTTTAATACTTAGCTTATGGCACTTAAAAAAATTGCATTTGACACAATAATGAGGGGTTACGGAGCAGACTTTCGGAGAGAGCGTCTCAGTGAGAGATTAGAATTAAGTACTCCAGCTTCTATACTCACTGTGTAAGAGCATGTTTTAGACAAAGACACTGTTGTATTAATTTAAACCTATTTGATCCAAACTCTTTTAATGTTGTTAGCAGTCCATGGATATTGGCCCAGTTCAAAAAGGCTTGATAAGATGGCAGCAGCAAGTTTCCAGTCCAAACCTCAAACCCCGTCTCTTTAGTCATTATCCTTTCCATTTGCCTTTTTGACTTTCAATAGACTTACTTGACTTACTGTTTGAAACTCTAGACCGATTCCTATGTTAACGCCAGAATAAAAACTATTGAACCAGCAATGCATATGGTTTTTTGTTACAAACATGCATTCCTAGAGAGCCTGGTATACTGATGACAAGGCATGCTAATAATAATGCTTTTTGAATGAACTTAGACTAGTAAGTAAGTAAGTAATCTTTATTTATATACCGCCTTTCACAGACCAGAGTCACAAAGGAGTTTACAATGGGTTTTTTTTGGGCAATTGTCTCTCCCTCCACACAGAGATGGGAGCGGGGTCGCCAGTACAGGAGGCGGATGCCAGAGCTATTGTACATGTTTTTAGTGGTAGGGGAAACCGGAGCACCCGGAGGAAATCTACGCAGACACGGGGAGAACATGCAAACTCGAGAGTGCTATCCACTCAGCCACCGTGCCGCCCACGGACTTAGGCTTGGCACTGAAATACAACGCTCAAGATAAAAGTAAACACAAGATAATAACTGCTGCTGTGACCAGTCCTGCTCCACCCTGCGGCCACACCATACCTGCTGTTGTGATTAATAAAGTATCTTTCTATCTAGTCATGCTAATAGTAATGCATTTTGAATTAAGATAGACAACGGCTTTTAAATGGGGAAAGTTAAATGTCATCATTGTGCACAATACAGTGGGTTGAAAGGAGAAAATAAGAGCACTAAAGATAATAGATAATAAGATAAACAATACAATTTTTACCATGACACAAATGCGTAAAATTCTTTATTTTCCAGAAACCATTTAACAAAAGCCCATTGTGAAGCACTGTTCCTTCAGTCTCCTCTTTGGACTCGCCTCTGGGCTCAGTGTGAGATCGAGTTCACAGTAAAGTCTTTGTAACGGCCTGCGCTGTGTCCACACTGTCACTGAAGCATCTCCTCCTGAGACGCTCATAAATCAGCCCACAGAAAACCACTGTCCGCTCCTTCACCTGATCCATACAGTCAAATATGAAGACACAGACAAGTTTTGCACTGGCCTCAAGACGAACTACAATAACTACATTAAAGCAGGTTCAAAAAATGTTATGGCTTTTTGTTTTGGAATTGTAAGCATGCACCCCACTTATGTTTTTGTTTTTTGTTGATCTTCATAACTTTGTGACTTTTTCTATTGACATTGACATTTCTATGTTTATGAAATTATCTCCATCCTGGACTGGTCCTGGACTGGTTCAGATCAATCTGAGCTTGTGATGCTTTGTTTTGCTGAACTGTTGAATTGCAGTAATGTATGGAATGTGTTATCTACATAAATGTCCAATCCTTTTGTTTTTTTTGAGAATTTTGCACTTGAAGAAATGGTATTTCATAGTTTTGTGAGCTTCCTGCGCAGGCAACATATGGACCAACAGGACATATCTTTTGCCGACAAATCATTTCTTTAGTTAACTCCATGTCCGGGAGATGTGTGAGCAAACAAACTCCAACTGTGATTGTGAGAAGAATTAAAACTCCAGACTAAATAAACATACACTCATTCATTAAGAGGCTCATTGTTTATTTACGCCACGAGGCAATTTAGAGTCAAGTCTTCTGCAAAGTACATTTTACTGGAGGTCACGTCGCCGTAAATAACGTCAGAACATACGACTTACCCCGGCTGCCAGTTTCTTTAGAATAATATGCAATTTAAGGCAACAGAATCTGATTATGGTGGGATGGGTGGGCCTTCATTTAGATCAAGCCCTATGTTATCCACAAATCAACACCCTGCAATCTCTACCCTTGTGTAATTTGGACAGTTCCTTAAGCTACAGACTGAAACCATCAACAAAAAATGCAAAACAACAACTTTAGACTCTATTGAAAATTTGCCCTCATTTGCATTTGCCTATTTTGTTGCTTTTTTGGCAATACATAACGGGCAGTCAACCAACAAATACTGTATTTTTTTCCATTTCTACCTGCTTCATAAATTTAGTTTAATATCCAAGTTGGTATTGTTTCTTGTATTATTGTGTGTTTGTCTTGTTAATAAAAACTTTCTATCATTAACAGCCTGCCATCTTTTTGTTCTTAAAGTTCTTCAAAACTTTGGCTCTAAAGTTCATCAAACTTTTGAGCCAGAGAGTTCAATATTTAAGTTGGAGATAATGAATGATAAAACATACACTTTTCCCTCCACTCAATGTTATATGAAGGTTGTGTGAAGGTATAGTCCAAATTATAACATCATTGAGCCAATCCGTGGAGATCTCAGATGTGCAGTTCATATCATCAACAACTACCACTAAGGACTGCAAGCTAAAACATTATCGAGAACTGGGAGGCTTAAACAAGAATCATTTTAGAATCTTCTGTTGTCATAATAATTAAAAAAATATATTACTTCAAAGAACTACTAACAAAAATCTTAATAGAAAACTAAACATGGGGAGGCCGCATCTCAGATTCTAGCTGCTAGGAACAGTCTTCCTGAAAATGTGAGACAAGCTTCTTGTTCTGTTCAGATCTGTTTGGCTGTGCATACAACCATGGGGTTGTGTCTTTACTGTGATTGTACTGTGATTACTTATGATTTTAATGGCTTGAGTGACTGTCTCGATCTTGTTTTGTTCAGCACTTTGAGTTGCCTTGTGTATGAACTGTGCTATACAAAAAAACTTGCCTTGCCTAGTCTTACAAAAAATGACCCAATAAAAAACACAATTTCATCAAAAGTTTGAAGGTGAATTTTTGTGTTGAAAACGAAAAACACTATGAAATTGATAATCAGAGACTGATATTCACAGACAAAATTATTCATGATGTTTTTTTCAAAGGTTATTTTTTTTTTCTTTTTATTGAATTTCACAGTGCATTGAATTTGAGGGCTTGAAAATAAACTGATTAAATATTTTAAAGGCAAATATGTCATTTTGAAATGTAACCACATTGAAATGTCTTCACTTAATTTTCAGTGACTGAAATTCAAACATGGTTTTTTAAAGGTAAAAAAATTGTTGCGACCACATTTAAAAAAAAAAGATGACACAAACAATCTTCCACATATAGGAATATACAAAAATAAATTGAATGGAATTGAATTGATGAATTGAACTGAATACCTGCACATAGACTGGCTGATGGTGTGAGACCGTGTGGAAAGCCTGTCGAGAGGGCCCGCTGTGGGGGAGACTGTCGTACAGCTCCATGTTGAAGGACACGTTCACCGGCTTCGGCCTCTGCGACTTCGGGAAGATCCTGGGCACGGTTTCAGAAGACTCCTCGCTCGTTGGATAGCTGCAGTTGAACTAGGATAGACAAATGATACAGAGATTAAGCTACATGTCAATTGTGCATTGGCAGTGTTTCTGTATATACTGTGTATAGCTCTGCCCCAGTGAAAAAATTAAGAATGTGTAGACGTGTTTTTTTTTTGTTTTTTTACCTGAAACACTTCACTGCAATGGACATGACATGAACTCTCAGTTTGGTGTGTGTAAGTGTGTGTGTGTGAATGGCTGGTGGTGGTCAGAGGGCCCGACAATTAAATCTTGCAAATCCAAACCGAAATAAGGTTCAAAGTAGCCACTAGCTTTATTAAGTATGCTGGGAATTGTTTTTTCAATAATACTTCCTACTTTACATTATAGAGATGGACTTTTTTCAATATTGTCCCATTCTCTCACCATGATTACAGAAGGGGGTTCCATGGCTTCTCGTGGGAATGGAGCATCATCATGGTCCAGATCTAGTCCAAAGACCGATGGCCTACCGCTCCCAGCATTAGACTCAGCGTGACTCACCAAGACCTGTGGAAGAGAGGCCTTGCTGTGAGAACAAGCAAAACATCTAAATACTAAGAAAACATATTTCCAAGGTTCAAAAGGTGTTGATGGTTTTGTGGTCTTTCAGATGCCAGACATTGTTGAAAAAATGTGTAAATGATGGGTGAATTATGGAGAAATAATAATATTTATGACATTAACACAGAAACTGATGGGTTCAAAGCCAAAGACGGAGAGTTTTGAACTATTGCTTAAACAGGAGACTAACATTTAGTTCATTCAGTGCTATCTAAATGATGCTTTATGTAGTTAGTGGTAGTAGATTGCAGCTGAAAGATTTGATGCTAAGAAAAATAATGTATGTTCTGTATGTGTCATCTTGTCAACTCACTCCAAGACTTTGTTCAGAGAAAATGCATAACCGTTAAATTAGATTACAATATGAGAATCCCATGACTTCATCATGGGGGACTCACCCAGAAACAACAAACTGTGTTTTGAATTTCTCAACAATGAGTTTCTGTCCATCTCTCAAAGGAGGACACTGGCTTTGGGAGAACGGCCTCAACAACGCCTCATTAATTACTGCATTTCCGCTTGAAATGCCGGTATTCATCAAAACAAAGCCAGGAAATAATCCGAAATATGAAAGTATGTGACTTTTTCGCTCACTCCCCAGCCTCCTAAAAAGCTGCATCCAATATAGTACTCAATTTGTCTCTCCGTTGAGACAAACCAGGACCAAGATTTATACAAAACCAAGTTATAAGATTTACAATGGTTTATATTGGTTCACAAAAGCATTTTGTCAAGTTTGCAACCTCAACAAATATGTAATCATTTTATTCAATATCTTTGTTAAAGACGACAACAAAGTAACAGAACTGTGAAGTGAAAGGAAGAGAATACATGACTTTTTCTGCAATCACAGCAGCAAGTATTTTGGGGTATGACTCGACAAGATTTGCACATCTAGAGATTGAAAGTTACACAATGTTTCTCTGTGGTCTTTCTATAAAGAAAAAAAATTACACCAACCAAATTATACCTTTGGTTGGTGATTGAAAACATGGCTAAACAAAAATCAAGTACTTTTTCAAACCTCTGTAAATAAAGTTGGTCACTTACAGCATATGAAATATAGATACGTTGCAAAAAAGTTAGCTTCTCAAGTTCCGACAGATCCTCTGCTAAAAACAACCTTTTACAAAAAGTTTATCCTTTTCTGGTGTCCGGAGTTTGTGCAACATCGACCTTGGAAAAAGGCCGAGTTGCGAACAGAAAAGTGTTGTTTGAATGAGATTACAACAGAGGAGGGAGGAAGTGATTCATCTAAGCCTGTTTGAACAAAGACGCTCACAGAATTCCACAATAATGAGGTTAAGTGCAGATGTCAATCCAATTTCAAATCTCACTAAACTGCTACGTGAAACATTTTAGCGGCCGAGGACATCAAAACTGAAATGTTACTGCTGAGGTCAACCACAGCATAATGCAAATATCTGTATGGGATAGATCTTCATGGAAACCCAGGGCTTCGGTTGTTCACTTGGCCTCAATGAAAACTGTCAAAGTCAATCGTCCTATCACAACGTCAAATCAGATTGTATTCAACAATATTAGAAAGCCTTTATTAGCGCCGCTTTGCTCATCCAAAAACAGGTGTGTATGGAAAGTTCAGTGGGAGAAATTCAAGAAAAAATGCATAACCATCATCCCATGGTCTGTTATATTTGATTAGATCTTATAAAAGTTGGGAGGGACTTTTCCATTCCAAAGGTATCCCGGCTTTATTTAAAAGAGAGCGATGCAAACTAACCTTGCCTATATTTTGCAGTGTGGCTTGTGTACACTAAATTGAATAAATAAACAAAACTTGGATGTTTCAAAAATTACAGGGGAAATTCTATTGTTTTGAATGTATATTGTGTAACGTAAGTGAATCCCTCATACGTACAGAGTTGATGTGCAGTGAGGTGCTCTGCATGGGGTACACGGTGGTCTGACATCCCTCCAGAGGGGTCTCCAGCCGAAAGTGTGTCGCATTCACCGTCGCTTTGCATTCTGGGTCTTGAAGCGTGAGGCTCGCATTAGTAAATCCGTTCGCCTGAAAAAGAGGGAGGGAATTTTTGTAGCTAAATTGAATAAAGATCAAACAGTGAATTGCATTAAATGAGTTGGAGAGAGCTGAGCATGGAGTACATTGAGTTCCCAGCAACAAACAAGAGCCATACGGTGGTCCCTTTTCAGATCCAGGTTTTTCTCATTACAGCCACTGCCAGTTTCCAGTCTGATGTGGGTTAATATCTTCACACTCCAAATGCTGTAAAATGTTTCCCTTTTTGACGTCATACTCGTAATCAGCCAGTTTTATTTATCAGTAAACAGACTGTAACCTGTGATTAACCTGGTGGAAAACCTCTGAATATAGGAATTACAAGTAAAGGGTCTGTTTGGGCAATTACACAAACATCAAAGATTCTGCAATTTATGGATAGATATTGGGTAAACGCACATTTACCTTTAGGGGTGTGACGATGGATACTTTCTCCCACAATTCGATTATCGATATGAATTTGCCAAGTATCAATATCAATTTAAAAAAAAAAAAAAAAATTTTTTTTTTTTTTTTTTTTTTTCAAATCATTTTTTTTAAATTGGTATCAATACTTAATATATGGCTACATTACGCATCTCCATTCCATTTATCATGAAATAAAGTGTATTTTTTCTTTTATTTATGCCATAAATTGGCATATTGTACATTTCTGACCAATATATCGATAATCCTCATATCGTGATAAAATCGTTATCATGATATCGTTATCGTGATAATACCGTTATCGTGAGCTTTGTATCGTGTATCGTATCGTATCGTGAGGTACCCTTAGTTTCCCACCCCTATTTACCCCTCATTTACAATGAGAAATCATTTTTCTAACCATTGGGAACAAGGAAACTTTCATCATTAAATTAATAACACATATTAATTTAATGATATACATATTAATGATATACATTACTATTTTTACAGTATGAAACAGATGAGGGTTTTATGATAATTTTACAACGTACTTGGAAACAAACATTGCTTTCTGTATCGATCTTTTTTTCATATGAAACAATATATAACAGATATTGTATTCTTGCGAGGTAGAGTCACATGTGTATTTATTGTTGTATAAATGGACATTTCTTATTTTCTATTGCTATCTCTGTGCGTGCCTGCGTTCATTTTGGTCAAATAAAAGCTCAAGTGAACCAATTTTCTGTTGGTAAATGTTGCTAAATGAAGTAGTCCCATTCCAAAGACATTTTTTTATAACATGGAATAAGTGGTAGATTTCAATGCTAGTTAGGTAGGTCTCAAAAGTACCCAAGTCACCTCAGGTAAATTTCCAACAGAATGGAAGTAACTAAAATCAATTAAATCAATCAAAAGAATGAAATTGTACTGTACATACCTTGAGGCTGTCCTTGTCAAGGCTGACCACCATCCTGTCCTCCGCACACTGCACCGTCAGCCCCACGTTGAGCATTCCCAGCACCTCCTCTGGCCCCTCGCTGTCCCACGGCTGCTCGTTCAGGGATGGGGGCAGGCGCAGGTGGTCCTCCGAGCCACCGGGACGAGCAGGGGCGAAGGGGAATGGCAGACCTGATAGACGCGGAGCAGCTCTGGACTCATGACGAGGGACGGAGTCGTGGAGGATTGACAGATCTGGATGAAACATGCTCTCAAGAGGATCCACGATGTCTGCGTTCAAACAAGAGCTGAGGTTAGGGACTTTTAAGAAAACCATTGTATAGAGCAACATGTTGTAAAACAAATAAAATCCCAACAGGATTTTTTTTATATACAAACCAGCCTATATACCAGTTATGATCACAAGGACTATCAAATAATGCTCTTTTTTAGGCTATAGACTATATTTTTTTAACACAAAGATTAATTTATGTTATCAAGTGGTTTTGACACTGGTAAAATTTTGACCTCTAGATTGAGCTCATTGTCTGTCTCTAAGTATATAGAATAGAGCTAAAACAGTACATACTGTATGAGTGTACACGCTAGTTTACATCTTCAATTAATCAAGCAGAAACCAGACTGAAAATGTGCGTTTCTACAACTGACTGAACTCTGATATCTGACTGATCAATCGATACAATTTTTTACATATGAAACATATTGAATTGAAACATCAGAAAAAAAGATAAAAGTTAAAACAGTTAAAAAATAAATGCTTCAAATTAGTTATATGCATAGCTAAATTGACATACAATTTGACTGCCTGTCTTACAACCTCAGGGAGACTCTGAACCTCAGATTCTGGCCGACATTGGAAACGCAGCCTCCCCATGTTTAGTTCTAACTCTGGGCACCAGCAAGAGGCCAGTCCCCGTGCTCCTCTAAGTCCGAGTTAAGTGATAAGTGAGGCCATCCTACAACACATTTGTTGGTGATTCATATAATCTCTTGAAATCAAACTTCTTATAAGCTGGAGATAACTTGACAATGAGCAGGATGGCAACAGCTCTGTGTACATCCATATCCACCTTTCAGATGTAGTCATAAAGAAGTAGTCAGTTATTCCTCCCGTTGAAAGTCTGATTGTAACATGACAGATAGCGGTGCTTAAAACATCATTATAATTGTTTATAATTACAGAGCACATAATGGAGAAAGCACACGCAGCCGAATCCACAGTCTGATTGAGTTACCTTGTTCGCGGAGCCTGAGGTTGAAGTGGTTGGCCACAGAAGTGCTGGTGTAGGAGGTGACGGGGCTGTAGCCGTGTTCCTCTGCCCACTGGATCAGGTTTTGGGACCCCAGAGGTAAAGACTGCTTGGGCAACTTAGTCACGTGCATCAGCTTCTCCAAACCAGAACCAAGGCTGATAGTGTTTGAGGCCTGCGAAGGAAACATGAAGGACATCATTTGGACTCTGTGGTGAAAAAAGACATTTGATGATTACATTTGATGACCATCCCTGCAATGTAACAAGTTCAGATTCAGATTCATTTTATTTGTCATTATTAGTAAAACCACATTGGAATACATTTGCAACAGCCCCAAGACAAGTACATACATAAAACAAGCTTTAAAAGTACAGAAAAAAACCTGCTATCATAATACGTGGATCTATCTGATAAAGATCAAAACTAGTTGTAATAATTGTCTATGTTTGAACTTACTGTATGAGTAGATGTGTGAAAAAGAAAGTTGTGTTGTTTGGGATATTATCAAATCCCTATCAATTATCAAAACTGTTTGCTTTACCATGGAACCAAAATCTATCGTTCAAAGTAAATCTACTAAAACTGCCGTATTTTCACTACTACTATTACTGCTACTACTACTGCTACTACTACTGCCACTACTACTGCTACTGCCACTAAATACTACTACTGCTACTACTACTGCCACTACTACTGCTACTATTACTGCCACTACTACTGCTACTACTACTACTATCACTGCTACTACCACAAATACTATTACTGCTACTGCTACTGCCACCACTACTACTACTACTACTATCACTGCTACTAGCACTGCTAATACCACAAATACTATTACTGCTACTGCTACTGCCACCACCACTACTACTACTACTATCACTGCTACTATTACTGCTACTACTACTGCTACTACCACAAATACTATTACTGCTGCTACTGCTACTACTACTACTACTACTACTATCACTGCTACTATTACTGCTACTACCACAAATACTATTACTGCTGCTACTGCTACTACTGCTACTGCTACTACTACTACTACTACTACTACTACTACTACTACTACTACTACTACTACTACTACTACTACTACTACTACTACTACTACTACTATCACTGCTACTATCACTAATACTATTACTTCTACTGCCACTACTATTACTGCAGCGACTATGACTACTATTAATGCCACTGATGCTACTAATATTACTGCTACTGCCAATACTACTACTGTTACTGCTTCTGGCTTCTACCGCTACCATTATCACTACTACTACTAGTAATCCTACAGCTAATTCTACTACTACTCTTACTAGAAACATAAAACGTGAAAATATTGGAAACTGCTTCAACTGCACAATTAAATTGGACAGTGACGAAGATGTATTTAAAACGTTTTTAATCTCCTCAGTCTACAATTTTATGTACCATGAGTAACAAAACACTGTCTATGAGCTGGGGCAATATTCCATATTCATGTAGCGTCTTGCCGTTACTGTTTAAAGTGTGAATCATGTCACTGAGGTAATAGACGTGTTATAGCTCGAGAAAAAGGGTTAAGTTTCCTTCAAATATTCAGCTCTGTCTCGGCTGCATACGCTCTGAAAAATCTATGTTCTCACACAAATTTCCCACACGAGCCTAAAGAGACCCTGCCCTTTGACAAAATGAGCTATCAGTCTGTACAAAGCTATCATAACCCGCAAATAGTTGACACGTTCCCAAGTGTTCATTGCACAAGCTGATCATTTCACAGTTTGAAAGCTATAAAAAAGTGCTTGCAGTTGTGTTGCATACTCACGGGTATTGTACTGTATTGTATAGCATTACATGAAATTCAATGCACAATTTAAATGTAACCTATAGCGTTTAAGATGTTAAAGCTGGGGTACCAAACTTTTTTCTTCTGCTGTAAAGTGCAATTGTATCTTTTTAGAAAACATTGTTATCTTTTGCAAACTTGTAAGAATAAAGGCCGTGAGTCACTCTTTGGTGATTTGGGTTGAGAGTGGATTGGCTGAGTGAGGGTAGTACTCTTTTTTTCCCTTTTCTGTCTGAACGCTGATCTTAAGATGTTAAAACTAGGGACAGAATAAAACTGATCAGGTTGAGGAACTAGTGATATGATACATAGTTCTATTCATATCTGGTTTGGATATTCAGTACCCCAGCTTTAAACTTTTTTGTATCAGATAAAACTGTTGTCCAACACGTTTTTTTTTTTTTTTATAATAGAGAAGCAGAAGACACAGTGATTAATTTCTTTTATACACTTTTTTAAATGACTTAACAACTCCTAATGATGTAGGCTTACTCAAAAAACCCATAAGAGCCAAAAACATACCCACAATTTGATATCGGTTCATTTTTGTTGAATTGAGGAATTGCTACGTTTTGTCTTATGTAATGAGAAATCCAGAAAGCTAGCTCGTCATGTTGATATTGGGCTTGTGCTGTACAACTGGTCTGGAAAGGGGAAAAATGGGCGCGAGTGGTGCTTGAAATGTGTTTTTAAAAAGGTAAACACAACCCAATCTGCTCTTAGTGTCACTTTGTGGGCTGTTCTGACATAAATCTGAGGAGCAGTGACCAACAGCTGTACAAACACAGAAGCTACAGAAGTCATGACGGAGGCCTGGAGACGATCAGACTTAACCCATGAAACATATACACAGACTTACGCAGCTGAGGATGACACAAATTCCAATCTTCCTTCAATAAAACTATACGTGGATATTATTTTAAAGCTGGAGAAGTATGTAATAAAATCCATAGTTTTCACACGCATGTATTTTTTTGGTCTCCGTCACATTTTCCTTTTTGTGGTTTTGATTTTTTTTTACTTTTGAATGCGCTGGAAACGGCTGTAAGTACCTCTGAAAAAGTTTAGTGCTTTACAATTGTTTTTTCTCTTGCTTTTTTCTAGCTGTAAATTATACTGCCGTACACTGTTCATGATTTTACATTGATTCAAACCAGAGCATAGAGGATGCATGGTCCAAACCAAGCAGATCAAGAATATATCCAAAAAATAAATATATTTAAAAAATGTAAATAAAGCATTCAACATTTCATTCTAGACCAGAGCAGAGAAAATGGTCCGAACCAATCAGACTCTGGAAACATCAACCAGAGGATAGGAAGCAGCTCACCACCAGTCGCTACACCACCTCTGCTGCAGTGACCTAAATTATGTATTTATTTGTTCTGTTTGTATGGATGAATGCGTTTCTGCTGCTGAACAATCAAGTATCTGTCTACCTACATGTACAGTGTCTATCTATTTGTCACTTACAAATAACATTACTAAGGCAAAAAGCAGGTAGCGGACACCAGCAGAAAAAGCATGTGTAATCTAATGTCATATAAGCAGAACAGACCAAAAATCCCTATGAGAAATGTGGTTGACATTCACAGTCATAAAGGTCTTTTACTATGACAATCACGCTCTTTTTGAATTGGCACAATAGTAAAGACAGAGGCCTGGGGAGGATCAGCCATTCACTAAACTCCAAAAATATATACACACAGACTGAGCTCCAAGCAACCAATGACCACTGCACTGGACTCCAAATCTGATCAGGACCGAAGAGAAGGAGCTGGTTTAATCCGATTGCAGATAGATTTGAAAAGCAACAAAAGCAATAATATTATTTAGCCTTATTTAAAGACATTGTAATTGAATGTAGTGCCACTAGGTCATGTATCCACTGTTAAAAACCTCAATAAGATCCCATTCAGAGTGGCTAGTTTCACTATCACAAAAAACACCCAACAGTTTGCCTTAGTGACATTGAATGATGGGCCAAATACAGGGACAATAAAGCATTTCTTACCTTATCTACAATTCATTTGGATTTTAATGTATACTGCCCTTCATGTCTTTATGCTCTCTTGCTGTCTTGAAAAATAACAGTGCGTTTCCTTTAATCTGTAACAATCCCCATCACCCAATCTGTGCCTCACTTTTATCGGTGTTCCTGCCAAAGGAATGCATCTTACAACTCTTACAACTTGTTTGCACCTTGAGCCAAAGCAAATTCCTTGCTTGTGACTTCCTGTTACTTACAATGGCAATAAAAATAATTCTGATTCTGATTCTGATTAAGCACCGTTTCCACCAGCCCTACCTGGCCTTTCTCCACACTACAATACACTACTTGGCTATAGTCAACCTGGTTGCATTTCCATTATGCTTTTATCTGGTACTGTTGTTTAAATTATACATCTCAGGAAATGCTGTCGCAACCATGGCTTCTAGCAGCACTCTGGCCAATCAGTTGGAGCCAGAGCCGTGCAGGTAATAAAAACAGGGCCAGTAGGAACGCTCCCAATCAGGGTACAGTAGAGCCGAGTAGATTGGAACAGGCTACTTAGGGCTGGTGGAAACGGGTTCACGTTGTCCTCTTACCACCACTTCCAGTTTGCCCATGACTCTGTGGGCTTTGATGACCCAGTTGACGACTTTGGCACATTTCAGAATGAGGACGACATCGCGGTGCAGAGGTGCGCCCTCCTCCAGCGGCTGAAGATCCACGATCACATCCACCTGGAACGCACTGGGGAGCACACAGGAAAGATTCAGTATGTGTGACGATGCATATCCAAGACCAAGACTGTTTTTAACTACAACAGAATCCACGGAGTCATTCCATGTTTTAGTTTAGATAACATTATTGGTTTTAAATTACTTTCTGTATTTGTTTTTTTCTGTGGCACTGAGCCTTATTGGTAAGTAGCTGTCAAACTGTGATTCCTGTCTCCCATCTTTCACATAAAGCTTGGATACCTGTGTTTAAAAAAAAAGTGAAGAAGAATAAACCATTTTGTAATTAAAACAGGTGAAATGTTATTGTTAACACATCTGAATCATTTTGACTTGAGATTTTGACTGCATTAAAATAAGATTTGCAAAAGAAAGAAGCTTTAATGTAAAATGTTGTAGAAAATCTTGGTTGAACTTATATTGATTTATCGAGTTTATGGTACTTGGCTCCCCCCTGGACTGCCACCTTAACGTGGTGGGGGAGTTTGAGTACTCAGATGATCCTGGGAGCTATGCTGTCTGGGGCTTCATGCCCCTGGTAGGGCCTCCCATGGCAGACAGGTCTCAGGTGACGAGTCAGACAAAGAGCAGTCCAGAAGACACCATGGACAGCACTAACACGAAAACAGTGACGTCGCCCGGCATGGCGCAGCCGGGGCCCCACCCTGGAGCCAGGCCTGGGGTCGGGGCCCGTATGCGAGCGCCTGGTGGCCGGGCCTTAGCCCACGGGGCCCGGCCGGGCTCAGCCCGAAGGGATGACGTGGGCAGTCCCTCCTGTGGGCCCACCACCTGCAGAGGGGTCCGTGGTGAAGCGGTGCAGAGAGGACGGGCGGCAGTCGAAGGCGGAGACCTCGGCGACCCAGTCCGCACACACAACATCTGGCTCTTGGGACGTGGAATGTCACCTCACTGGGGGGGAAGGAGCCCGAGCTCGTGGGGGAGGTTGAGCGATACCGACTAGAGATAGTCGGCCTCACCTCCACACACAGCTTGGGCTCTGGAACCCAACTCCTTGAGAGGGGTTGGACGCTCCACTTTTCTGGAGTTTCCCGCGGGGAGAGGCGGCGAGCTGGGGTGGCCATTCTCATTGCCCCCCATCTCAGCCGCCACGTGTTGGAGTTCTCCCCGGTGAATGAGAGGGTCGCGTCCCTCCGCCTCCGGGTGGGGGACAAGTCTCTCATTGTTGTGACGGCCTACGGGCCTAACAGCAGTGCAGAGTACCCGGCCTTCTTGGAGTCCTTGGGAGGGGTACTGGACGGTGCACCGCCCGGGGACTCCGTTATTCTCCTGGGGGACTTCAACGCCCATGTGGGAAACGCCAGTGACACTTGGAGAGGGGTGATCGGGAAGAACGGCCCCCCTGATCTGAACCCGAGCGGTGCTCAGTTGTTGGACTTCTGTGCCAGTCACGGTTTGTCCATCACGAACACCATGTTCGAGCACAAGGGTGTCCACCAGTGCACGTGGCACCAGGACACCCTAGGCCGGAGGTCGATGATCGACTTTGTTGTCGTATCATCTGACCTTCGACCGCGTGTCTCGGACACTCGGGTAAAGAGAGGGGCGGAGCTGTCAACCGATCATCACCTGGTCGTGAGTTGGATCCGCTGGCAGGGGAAGAAGCCGGTCAGACCTGGCAGACCCAAGCGTATAGTGAGGGTCTGCTGGGAACGTCTCGCTGAGCCCCCTGTCAGACGGACTTTCAACTCACACCTCCGGGAGAGTTTCTCCCAGGTCCCGGCGGAGGAGGGGGACATGGAGTCCGAGTGGACCATGTTCTCTGCCTCAATCGCCGATGCGGCGGCTCGTAGCTGTGGTCGCAAGGTCTCTGGTGCTGGTCCCGGCGGCAACCCCCGAACCCGGTGGTGGACACCGGCAGTAAGGGATGCTGTCAGGCTGAAGAAGGAGTCCTATCGAGCCATGATGGTTCGGGGGACTCCTGAGGCAGCTGTCCAGTACCGGCAGGCCAAGCGTGCCGCGGCCCGGGCTGTTGCAGAGGCAAAAACCCGGGACTGGGAGGAGTTCGGAGAGTCCATGGAGCATGACTATCGGTCGGCCTCGAAGAGATTCTGGCAAACCATCCGGCGCCTCAGGAGGGGGAAGCAGTTCTTTGCCAACACCATGTACGGTGCGGGTGGAGAGCTGCTGACCTCGACTGGGGATATTGTCGGGCGGTGGAAGGAATACTTTGAGGTTCTCCTCAATCCCCCCGTCACGTCCTCTGTTACAGAGGCAGAGGCTGAGGATGTTGGGGCGGGTACATCCATCTCCCTGGCTGAGGTCACCAAGGTGGTTGGTAGCCTCCATGGTGGCAAGGCTCCGGGTGTGGATGAGATCCGCCCTGATTATCTAAAGTCTCTGGATGTTGTAGGACTGTCTTGGCTGACACGTCTCTGCAACATCGCGTGGCGATCGGGGGCAGTGCCAATGGAGTGGCAGACCGGGGTGGTGGTCCCTCTCTACAAGAAGGGGGACCGGAGGGTGTGTTCCAATTATCGTGGGATCACACTCCTCAGCCTCCCCGGTAAGGTCTACTCCAAGGTACTGGAGAGGAGGTTACGGCCGATGGTCGAATCTCGGATCCAGGAGGAGCAGTGTGGTTTTCGTCCCGGTCGCGGAACACTGGACCAGCTCTATACTCTCCATCGGATACTCGGGGTTCATGGGAGTTCGCCCAACCTATCCACATGTGCTTTGTGGATTTGGAGAAGGCGTTCGACTGTGTTCCCCGGGGTGTCCTTTGGGGGGTTCTCCGGGAGTACGGGGTCGGGGGTCCTCTGCTGAGGGCCATCCGATCCCTGTATGACCGGAGCCAGAGCTGTGTTCGCATTGCCGGCAGTAAGTCAGACCTGTTCCCGGTGAATGTTGGCCTCCGACAGGGCTGCCCTTTGTCACCGGTTCTGTTCACTGTATTTATGGACAGAATATCTAGGCGCAGCCAGGGGTCGGAGGGGGTCCGGTTCGGAGACCACAGGATTTCATCTCTGCTGTTTGCGGACGATGTTGTCCTGTTGGCTCCAACGAACCAGGACCTGCAGCATGCACTGGGACGGTTTGCAGCCGAGTGTGAAGCGGCTGGGATGAGAATCAGCACCTCCAAATCCGAGGCCATGGTGCTCGACCGGAAAAAGGTGCCTTGCCCTCTGCAGGTGGGTGGAGAGGTCCTTCCTCAAGTGGAGGAGTTCAAGTATCTCGGGGTCTTGTTCACGAGTGAGGGAAGAATGGAGCGTGAGATTGACAGGCGGATCGGTGCAGCGTGCGCAGTTATGCGGTCGCTGTATCGGACCGTTGTGGTGAAGAGGGAGCTGAGCCGAAAGGCAAAGCTCTCGATTTACCGGTCAATCTTCGTTCCCTCCCTCACCTATGGTCATGAGCTTTGGGTAATGACCGAAAGAACGAGATCGCGGATACAAGCGGTCGAAATGAGCTTCCTCCGCAGAGTGGCTGGGCGCTCCCTTAGAGATAGGGTGAGGAGCTCAGTCACACGGGAGGAGCTCGGAGTAGAACCGCTGCTTCTCCACGTCGAGAGGAACCAGTTGAGGTGGCTCGGGCATCCGTCCGGATGCCTCCTGGACGCCTCCCTGGGGAGGTGTTCCGGGCACGTCCCACCGGGAGGAGGCCCCGCGGAAGACCCAGGACACGCTGGAGGGACTATGTCTCTCAGCTGGCCTGGGAACGCCTTGGGGTCCCCCCGGACGAGCTGGAGGAAGTGTGTGTGGATAGGGAAGTCTGGGCGTCTCTGCTTAGACTGCTGCCCCCGCGACCCGGCAACGGATAAAGCGGAAGAAAATGGATGGATGGATGGATGGTACTTGGCATAGTTATGTTTTTGTTTGTTTTAGGAATTTTGCGAATGGGCTAAGGCTTGTTATTGTCATGTTCTTGTTCTCTGTTTCTCTGTTTCCAAGACAAATTCTGTCAAGAGACAATAAAGACTATAACCTAATCTATTGTTGATTTAAGGAGAATAGAACAATTTACAAATATTTGCTTCACTCAAAATAAGAGTAAAATGCTCCTCACTTCAAAAAAGACCATTGGCAAAGTGCATTTTTTCCGTGTACGTTAGAGCTGCAAAATGAATCCGAATCTATCCAGAAATCTATTTGATCCAGCCTGTGTTTTGTCATGATCGTCCATAATTTACCTTTTATTCATTCTGAGAGCCAATTTACATAACCCTATAAAAGTTATTCTAAACAAATCCTCAAAAATGTCACTATTGCGCCATAGTTACAGCATTTTCTTCTTGCACAGCCGGGGTTAAAAGTCTGGCCAACTAATTAAATGTGGATCCGTTTCAAGGAAAAAGCTGACATGTGCAAACCAGACCCTGCTCCAAAAGATTAAGGCCTTCTATCACATTGTCTTTGGGCTGAAAATAATAAGCAGTGTACAAGGCCAAGTCAACCTTAAGATCCTGTTTTGAAATATTATTCTAAGAGGAACACCACAGAGCACTGCGTTTCCATGACAGGCCAACAACAACTGACAAGAGATAAGTGAGAGCAGGCCAACCTCTAAAACAACGGTTCTTAATCTGTGGTACGCGGGCAATTACAGAACAGCGAATAGTTTTAGTATTTGTTAGATTGTACTTTTACAAGGGCTGTCAAACAATTAAAATTTTTAGTTGATTAATCGCATAGTAATGGTGAGTTAACTCACGATTAATCACATTTTTAACATTCTATTTCAAATCCACTCCAATTGAAGTTAAATGAGATTATCAAATGTAATGACACATTGTCAATCATACCAAATGTACTTAAGTCTGTTTGATCTGCTCACAACCTGCTCACAACATGTGCGTGCACAGGATACGCACAGGTTGCAAAGACACGCACACAACAAGCAGTGAATAGTCCTGTGTGTGTATGGTCTTATATGACCACATTACCGCGGGTCCATTCGCCGTGAGCCGCTAACAACAACCAGAGCGACCGCAGCTGCCCCCGGGGTGTGCCCCGGTAGGCGGACTTCAGTTCATAGACTGTAGCCCCGCGGTCACGCTCGTATTCTTTTAAAACTTGAATTCCCAGAGACCTGCTCTGTTGTCATCTCATACACGCATGTGTCCGCGGCATTCTGAGTGATATTATGGATAAATGTGCGGGTCACTTTATATAAACCGAGACCTATAAAAAGTCAACTTGACTTAGGCTAAAAGTGACTTGGTCCAAAATTGTGTTTAGCGCAATCAAAGATTAAGCAAAACATGGTATCTAAGAAAAACAATGAGTGAGAAAGTTTTTAGATGTATTTCTGCAAGCGTTCAGTTCGATAAATGAGGCGTCTAGACAAAGCAGGGCCTTACCTGCTGGAGTTGGGGGCCTGGAGTTCGATGACATGGACCTCTCTTTCTTTATCGGGGCCAGAGAGGATGCAGCCTCTGGAGGGCTGAGGCTCCATGTACCCACCCAGGTAATTCAGAGACAGGAACCTGGTGTCGATCTTACATGTGTCGGAGAAGACAGAATCTGAAACATGAAAAATAAGGACTTGTGTTAAAACCAAACAACCACACTGATTTGAGTTGTTTAATTCACTTTTACCATGGTCAAAACACTCTTGCACTCAGAACATCTTAGAAAATAAAAATTATTTGTCCGCTACACTCTTGAAAAGATAGTTTGGACTGCCTTAAACAATGTTCGCCAACGGGACAAGCAAAATCATCTTGTTTTAAAAAGATATGTCTCCCTTGGAAACAGTTCTTGAAACTTGAAAGTTTCCCATTGGGTAATCTTCTCTAATCTAATCTTGTCAGAATGTACTTAAAACCACTCGATTCAAGAAATTATGATCTCATATTTTAGAATTGTTTGCAGTGTAGGACCTTAAAGTTTTTGTATTGAAACTCTATTCTTTTCATATCCAATATTTTCAATGTGCACACTTTCATTTGTTTCCAAAATGAGAGAGCGCACAATTTTCTTAGCTGGAAAATTAAAAATCATCTTTTCATATATTCCCAGTGAAGAAGTCTGTCTTTAATTTGACTCAAAGTCCGGATGATATTTTTAGCACCAGACTTAAATCAAGACAAGTTACATTCTACAGCAGATGAAAAAAAGACACATATGGCTTTTTTTTTTTCTCAAAAACATTATTGAGCAAATGCAGCAGGAGTGGATGTACTGTGTGAAACAATAACACTGAGAGAGAACTGTTTGGGGAAACAGGCTATTTTGGAAAAGGGAGTTTGTTTTCAGGAGTTTAATTTGTGGAGAGAAACAGATAACGCGCTCATCTGTGGTCCAACATGTTCCTCCCAAAGGTTTCACACCAATTACAAACATCCTTCAACTTTTCTGTATTTATACGGGTGAACGAGGGGATAAATTAAAATCACAATAGACATTAAACAGATTTCAAAAGTGATGTTCTTGGACAAAGTAAGTCTAGAGCAGGAGGAGATTCGTGTACTGTAGCCGCTTTATTATCATATTTTGTGCAGATAAAATAGGGCAGACATGGGTAAATCTTTTTCTCCTTGGGACCACATAGGATCAGCCTGTAGTCAGGGGGCGGACCTATTTTCAATTTTATTTGATATTAAATATTATATATTACAGCAGCACAGAGAGATTTGATATATGGCATTCAAAACAAAACCATTTTTCAATAAATTATACTAGTCTTTGTAAATATAAATTTTTTAAAAAGTATTCATTTTAGCCTTCTCCCTTAAAATGTTTTGGGCGCCCTGGGTCAAGAGTCGGTCGTCCCAGGAAAACAATGACAGAAGCTCAAAACCGCTATCGTACTAATTTCATAATTTCAGTTCTAGATTTGCTCCATTGAGCTCCGTTAACAGGTGGAAGGGGTTAACTCTTTTTGCAGATTGAAACGATTGGATGTGAGTTTGCCATGACGTATGTGAAGCGCCCGAGTGAGTGAGACCTTTAGCATTTAGCATAGCCATCTTCTTTGCCACTAACAGAGCCCGTGGGGAGTAGGGCCACAACATCTTTGCCATTTCAGCCAATTTGGCAGATAACTTTACTATTGCATTCCCTGCCATTGCCAAACGACGATCAGCAAATGCGGCTCAAACTCTTGACGTCACCAACACCGACCCACAACACCCGCCTCACAACCGAAGTGACCACAGCCACTAGGATCAGACCCAGACGTTCATGTAGGGAAATGATAATTGACCGGAGTTTAGGGATGGCTAAGGCCAGGGTAGTTTAGAGCATATAGTGAGAAGAAAGATGTGTGTGATTCCTTGATCAAAGAAAAGTAAGTTCTGTAAATAAATGTTGAATTTGAATGTAATATTGAAGTGATTTATTATTCATCATGAAGTTGGACTTACGTTGTTAATAAAGAATAATGCAAGGTGTATGCACAATGTGGTTTAACTAAAATTACTTGGATTTGTCACATTTGACTCTTTCTACTTTGGTCCATAAGTCAGATAAGACCGAGGAGTGGAAGAAGCCTTTGATTGTCTCATAGGTGGTCGTGATTTATTATCACACATGTTTAAACGGGTTTTGAAGCTTTCTTTAGGCCCGAGTGCAGATTCAAGACAGATTAGTGCGACTTTAAAGCTGAGCGGTGTACATTTGTCAATTGTCAGTGCCTTGACCTCACCTTTCAGGAGAACATGGTGATATTTTTACCATCATCAATATCAAAACAAAACAAGCTATTTTAAGTCATTGTGAGAGGTTCCCAATTAAAACAATAAAGCTTACAAGATGAATTGTGCATGTTCATTGTTAAAGAAAACATTGAGACATGGACATAGCAAGAAAAATTTACTTTGATTGAAATTCGGGGCGACAGTGGCTCAGTTGGTAGAGCATTGGCCTTTGAGCCTGAAGGTCTTGGGTTTGAGCCCACCATGAGACATTCTCCACCGCCTCCAATTTGCCTGAAGCCCCCACTGAAATATCAAGGCTATACCAAAAAGCAGCCATCCTCCTGTGGACTCACCACCTGCAGGATAATCAGAGAGGGACTGGTGCTATGTGTACTGGGTGGCATGGCTGGCCACCCCCCATTCCAGAAATGGATTAAGGTGTAGAAAATGGATGGATGGATGAAAAAGGCACAGTGCAGAGGTGTGGTTCTACAGCTTTAAAAAAATAGTTCAATGTGTCTGAATGCAATACAGAGCATTTCTAGATCAATAGTTAAGTTAGCAAGGAGCTATAAGACCAGAAAAGCACCCGTAGGCCGCAGACATCCACAAAAAGGCACTCTTCCATGTCTCTAAATTAACGGACTGTTATCTGGATTATATAGGTATAAACCATACTTTGTTCCTTATAACTTGTTTAATTTTCTAAGGGTTTAATGCCTGTGTGCACTCTTATCTTATCTTATCTTTGTGAAGTGATTTCAGCAGTGAGACTCTGAAAATGGTGAGACAAAACAGTTTATTTTGCACTGGGAAGACAGAAACACGTTTAAGAAACACAAACTACTCCAAACGTTCACAACGCAACCTCCTCTATGGTGCTATGGTGGCATTAAGGTTGATAAAAAACAAAAGCAATTTTTCACTAATCTATAAATAAACGCAAATATCCATGCGGCCATGGTGTGCCCAGCTCTACGATGAAAACTTCAATAACTAGACATGTTGGCTTGAAAAAGTGCATAGTGGACAAAGCAGTGTCTATTTTCCTCCGAGCGGCATTACAAATCTACTTTTCAATGTTTTTCACTCTGGTTGGAAACACCAGAATGATCGTGGTAGTCTATACAAATGTGTTCCCATAATTTTTCCACTCCAGCCCCATGACATTGTGCATAGACCCCTTCTCCAGGCATCTTGAGGGCATCTTGCTGGAGGATTAACCTACTGTGCATGTTTATGAGACTTAATCATAATTGCATACTTTCCATTTGATAAAAAATATATACATATATTTAAAAATACAAAGCAGACAACTTTGATATTGTGCCAACTTGTTAGGAGATCATGATGTTTTTAATGAGAATCTTTTACTAGCGTGTGTGTGTGTGTGGATACTGGTCGTTGTGGGGAGAGGCCTGTTATTTGTTGCTGTGCAGTGGTTGCTCTGAGGCTGGTGTCATTAGCGGCTGTGGTTTGGCTCCAGTCCATGGAGTGAGAGCCGGAGATTTCCTCTGCTCCACCTCCAGATCTTCAATAAAGCCTTGTCGCGGTGGTGGTGGTAGTAGTAGAAGAGGCAATACACTGAACTGGCTCTGCTCAGCTTATTAAAGTGCCACAGCAGATCCGGAGAGGGAAGGTGCCAACCAAGAGTTTACATGGTGTCCCAGGATGTGCACGCCAAATAAGGAAGCATCTGTCTTCTGTTTTCTCCAAGTGCCAAGATTAAACTAATGGCAATACAAGCTGGACTTTATGTTGTGCTGCCCTGATTTTGTTATTTTATTCATGTGAATACTTGGGAAGGGGATAAAACCTACGGTATATTAAGTTATGCAACCATGTTATAAAGTTATGCAAGTTATGCAACCATACAATAATTCTATGCCCTTCTGATTAACATGTGCATAATGTTTGATAAATTCATATTCTCATACAACCGAGACCCCATTGCTTTTTGTGAACTTACAGCCTACAGGACTTTTGACGTGTCCATGTAAACGATGACATCACAGTGCTCTTGCAAATATATCTGGCAGTAGTGAATATGCATTTACGTATTGGTCTAAAAAAATGCAATTTCAATTTATTCAATTGAATTCAATTTATTCTTGAAAGCCCTTAATCACAACAGTAGTTATCTCGGATGACTTTACAGAACCATTGAATTCGCCAACTCAGATCAGAGAATCAAACAGTTCAAACTCAAGAAATAAAGCACATCGGTATTGGTCCATAAGTGCTGATAAATTACATTGTTTTACATAAATAAATAGAGATTTCAAAGGCACACAATATATACTGATGATCCAGAGGTTAACGATTATCACTGTGTAAGATATTTGGTGGACTATCCAGCTGAAACTATATATTATGTATGTTTGGCGACAGTGGCTCAGTTGGTAGAGCATTGGCCTTTGAGCGGTTGTGGGTTCGAGCCCACCATGAGATAACCTGGCAAGAGCCAGATTGATGATTGTGTAGAACTCTAATCTCCACAATATCAATCTGGGACTTCTGCAGGAAAATCCTTTCGGGGAAAGGAGGGAAAAGCAGCAGAATACTTCAAGCTGATTGGGCGAAGTGACGCTGTGTGCCCGCCTACCAAGGTTTGACTTAAACCAATCCCGGCAAGATTATTTGCCGTCCAGAAATGCACAAAGTGCCTCTCGCTGTTCATCTTTCAAAAAAGAAATTGGAGATTCTGCTAAAACTGACTTGATAGCCTCAGCTACGCGTCCGTCCTCCTGCGTAGCCATGTTTGTTTTGCTTTGGCCCGACACTTCTTGCTTTCGTCAAACCCGGATATCCCGCCCTAAACCCCCAGACTGGCGCGTGATTGGCTTGAACACCTAGATGTTCTACTCGAAAAGGGTTGGCGGGAGCGGGGCAAGATATATTCTCGTGGTTAACCACGAGAAGGACTCCCACTGATGTCTGCTGTTGCTGTGTCCTTGGGCAAGACACTTAACCCCACTTTGCCTGAAGCCCCATTTGAAAGATCAAGGCTATGATGGCACCGACAGAGGAGCCATTCTCCTGTGGACTCACCACCTGCAGAAGGACCAGTGAGGGGCTGGTGCTCTGTGAATTGGGAGGCATCTGATTTCCACCCCCTTGACCCAGAAATGGATGAAGGGGTAGAAAATAGATGGATGGATGTTTGAAGCTATTTTATCCCACAAAGATGATCTGTTTTGATCTGTTGGTGTCTGTGTGGTTGGGGCTGGTACCTTCTCCCACTTTGATGTAGATGTCCTGAGTCATCCGCAGCTCGGAGAAGGAGGTGACAGCCCTGTATTTCCTTTGTGCCCAGTTGAGGAGGTGCTCATTCCCGTGGGGCAGACTTTCATTCACGACGTGAGCAGAGAGGGAGAAGACAGTGGACAGGAACTGGACTGCTGACCCCTCTGAAACCTAGAGAGGAGTAACATACACACATGTAAGTTGCATACAAATGAATAAGACAAATTTAACAAAGGCTTATATTATCTTAAAAATAACTTGTTCCTAATTCTTCTTTCCTTTCCTTTGATAAAACTAGGTATCTTATTTCACATATTGGTCAAGTGAAATCAGGGCAGGCACTACACTACACAGACGAAGCAACTACTAAGATCCCAAAAACCAAAACTATCTTAATATAGATTGGAAATTATGAAAATGTCCAATAGAATTAACCAAAAACACATAAAGGTTTTCTAAGCACCTAATAACAAACTTATAGTGTGTTATCAGCTGATTAAATATATTTTTCACTTCCATATGGGGATAAATAACTCCACATGGCAGTGATGTGGGATTGAGCCAGCACTGAGGGAAATTCAAGAACTTGTGAAGACCTTTTGATTGCTACTTTAAACTTTACGGTCAATGAAAAGGAAAGAGGTTTTTAGAATTCATATGCAACCCAGGTCACTCCCCACTGAGAGAAGTTAAAATGCTTGGAGTAAAACAGGATGGAACAAGCCACATATAAACTTCAACCAAACAAAACAAATCTGACATGAAATTGTTTAAACTTGACAGTAAGAACGCTGACATAAATTTTTTCTGTGCCTCTAAGCAAGATAACTTTCATAAGATTATCCTCAACAGCCTGCATTAAGAAAAAGATTGGATGGATAGAGACCAAGTCAAGGCCAAAATCCCTCTGACTCATTGGAAAAGGTCTCAGGAACAATTTTAAAAACCCAAACAGCACACGACCTGCTCCAAGCTCATGAAAATAGGAAAATGCCTTATGTGTTATATGCTGCAGTGATCCAGCCCCATCTTGATTTCAGATTCTTGGAAATACATGTACCAAAACACAGAATTGCAAGAAAGGACAAAAGTGCAAAACATTTTAGACAGACCCGCTAACAGAAAACAATTGGACAGCAATAGAAATTCAATTGTAACAAACACTCATACCACAAACATGGAACTATGTCATAAAATCCATCCAACTACTTCTTTGCTCTCAATACAGTGTGGTTCTATCAATTTGGATCCAATTTTTCAGATACAAAAGTGAAAAAGAGGACCACCTTTTCAGCTCTCACGCATAAGAGTCACAGGGATCTCTCTTTTCTCATTTCTGAGCACATTTTATACAAAGATTATGTAGAAAAAAATAGGTTTAATTGATAAATATTGCAATCAAAGATCTCAAATTTTAACAAACGAAAAAAACTTGTATACTAAGAATGCTAAATAATGCCGGACCTAAAGGGGTTGAGGCTGAAGTCGATACTTATACTCACAAGCCTGCAATTACAGTATGTGTAGTATCAGAATGCGGTTAGTGTTTTTACAACTATGCAGCTTTGCAGAGGTGTTGATGTGGGCTGAATTGTAAACTGTAAAGTGATATGTCTTTTTGCAGCAACACGGCGGAGGTAGATGCTGGTGATGAGTTTAGTTGTAAAAACAATATACATGGAAGTCTATTATATCAGGTCCAATCCAAGTTTTTCTTTAAGGTAGAACTCTCATGACAATAACAAGCATAAAACAGAGGCTACAGAAAGAGAATGAACATTGTGTCAGAGGAAAATTGTCCTCAGCCTTTCAGTGGGACCACCCATTTGGCATAGGCTTCGCCCATATGCTCCATTTCAGATAAACATTTGCATGTGCTGAAATATACATTCAAAGCAACGATGTCGAGATACCCTACCTCGTGTTTTTTCCCCCACACAAGTTAAACATTTCAAAATCCCATTGTATATGTTTTGAGAGTGGAATAAAGCATGGTATGTATTGTACAAAAGTTATGTATGTTCAAATAATGAGACATCAATCTATATCTGCGTGTGGGTGACCCTTGGACGATCCTCTCCATGTTACTGGCAATGTCCCTAAAGGCAGTAAATAACGCATCGAAAGACAAAGAACCTTTTATTTTATATTTGTTGTCTGTTTGCAATAAAGACATGGAATAATGGTACTCTAGGACCACGCATAAAACGGGAGAGGGGCAGGAGATTAAAACTAGATTCAAGATTTTTTTTACGAACAAAAGCATCTCTTTTATCAAAATAACAATTATAGTCTGAATATAAAATAGGAAACCTGCAACTTTAAAAGGGGTAGAAAATGAAAGAATGAATAATACTGCAGCCCTAAACTTCACTCTGACTTTATGATCTACTATCTAGGCTTGTCACAATAATTACTGTTTAAATTTACTGTTCAATGGATGGAACAATATATTTATTGTCTGTGAATTTTTGAATTTAACACTTATTTCTTTAGGAGAATTCTACTAATTTTATTGCTTCATCTTATAATATATAAAAATATATTCTGTGATTGGACGAGTGGAACAAAGTCATTTCAATATTATCGCACACTGTCTCAATCTATGTGTTATCTATTCTTGTGGAAATAGAATACAGCTACTGCAATAGTAGCGAAGCCCCAGTTGCATACGTTCTAGACTCCGGAGAGGCCGTGCCCTGGGTCAGTCATGGAGGGATAAGAAGCAATGGCCCGTTGCACATTTGGTGTTGACATATTTGCCGAGCTCAGCACAGTTTATCAGCGAAATTGCAGGAATATAAGTGTAATTAGTCGCAGAGAATTACAGGGGGAAAGCCTGAAAACCAAATCAGCTCCAGGCTTCTGTAGCTCAGAAAAAACCTCAGGAATCTGAAGACCCACTGAGGACTTTAACCAACTCTCTCCAGTTCAGCTGCAAATGAAAGAGACGGCAGATCCAAAGTGTTAAAAAAACAAATGTTATTAATTTATGTCTATTGACTTAAAATGTGTTTGGTTACTCAGTCTTTAATTATTGCAACAGATCACACTAATCCCAGTCTCATGTAATGTTGCAAACCTTGACTGCCACCCCAAAAAACATTATCTTGTGCTGAATACTCAAAGAAAGAAGGATAAAAGTAAAATTTGAATATTTGGTCATTTAAATGCCATTTCACTATTTACACAGCTGAGTGAGGATGATGAGGGACAATGTCAAAACACCATGACGCCAAAAGCATTAAGTAAAGGGCACAAAAAGGTAATTGGTCACATAAGCTTTAAAACCAACCTTCGAAAGCCTTTTTTTTTACATGATGGTGCCTGTTTTCACTTGCTGTACAGTATGTGGTCGATTTCCAATAACCTTGCAACTAAGCAGCAGGGTGTATCTGCATAGAGCTTGAAGAATAAATGTGCAGCCAAGCAAAGCACATCATGGCCGTATGAAAAATGAAAGCCAATCCGTCTCCGAGTGATCTGAGGCCATTACTGCCAACGACGGAGTTAAAAGACTGCTAACAAATGTGTGTTTTATACCCTTATTATGATGAAAAGATGAAAGGGAAATTCACAGCCAAGTTTCAAAGTCAGGGACAGGTTTATTGAAGATAATCAAGACCAGGGATTATTGGGGACTTTTTTCAAGAAGCCGGTTGTATCTTGATAATTTGATTTCTGTTGCAAAGTGCTCGTGATTCAGAGCGTGTTCACACTTGGTCTGGTTCACTTTAACCGGACCAAATCTGGTTCAATTGGGGGAAAAGGATGCTTCACAGATCGGTTTCAAAAGATGTAAAAGCTGTCCATGTGACTAGTGGACACATGTTCACTTGTTGGGTGGTTTTACATCCACAATAAAACCTTCTTGGCCTGTAGTGAACCAGAATTGGTCCAGTTAATCGGATGATTGTGTCCTGGCTCACAATCTTCAAATGTGTTGCAAATTGACCACTGGAAAAAGAGCAGTCTACAACCAACAACAACTGATTAGACATGACTGGTTACAACTTTGTCGATGTTGCCAACTGTTGTTGTATCTTTAGGCAAGATAGGAGGGTCGAAGAACAGTGGTGATGATCCAGGACATTTAATGACATTTATGCCGGTTGGCCCATGACTCTGTGTTTTTTATTGTGGCATTTCCTGTGTTTGAACTCTTTGTTGTAGGTATATAGGAGGATGTTCCCAAATTGCAGGAAAGAATCGCCCTCTACACCCAGAAGTAGAAAGTCCTGCTTGGAGATAACAACTGTTGTGATTTAGGGCTATACAAAAGAGCAGTATGGAATCTGATGCGTGAACTATTAGTGGTGGATGGAATGGACAGTGGCAAAGTCTACAGAATATCTCTTGATTAGTTTGAAAGCTAAATAGCATTTTCAGGACATAAAGTTACTGCCACTACTTTTTTAGTGTTCATTCATAACAGATTCAAATGTCTGACACCAAATCTTCTGTGGTGCAGAAAACATGCTGTCATTAACATTCTAATCTGTGCACTCGGATTCCTACACTATCTTTTGGCTTCGGTGAACCACTGGCATCTGAATATCCTCATATCTTCAATTACGGTTTCCAAAATGTTTTATCGTATGTAACTACAGGGAGTTTTCTCAATATGCTAATGTTTATTTTCTCTCTTTGAGCCCATGAGGGGTGATTGATCAGAGCCACATGTTGTAGTTTAAACTAGAAGATGTGCCAAATTTTTATCATAGAGCTTCAGTGTTGAGTGTGGGAAATTCTTTGAAAGAAGGCAAAGAGTGCAGAAGAAAGATAATAATAGTTGATTTAATAGTGTGTGAATTTCTGTAATTATTTCTTAAGTCTAATCACTATGAAACAAAACAAACAATTCTTTTAGGTTACCGTGTCAATACAACATGAACATTTAGAAATTACATATGTAAGTACTACATTCTCCATTTGTCATCTGTAAGTGAAAGGCAAATTATACAATACATTTTGTTCTGTTCATTAAAATTATAGAGAAAAGCACTTAGAGATTTGTAAGAACATGCTGATACATGGTTGGTTGGATATGATTTCGGAGATTAGATCCCAGGAGGTTCAATTGGAAGATGAATATATGAGACAAAGGAGAAAAGTCCCACAGTTGATGGGGAGGAGGGGGGAGAGTTTTAAGTCCGAATTTTTGCATTAGCCTCATATGTAATATGTTAGTAATAGTATGAATCGACTGCTAAATGTAAAAATAATCCAAATTATCTGCAACTTCAACGTATTTCAAGATTTTAGAGCAGATGACAAAATCAGGGTGTCAACTCAAGACGTGACTACAAGTGCACAATGATAAACGTATCAAAGTTATTAAAGTTGAGGTGGAGATCTTCATCATCCCCGACAAGCTATAGGAGCCAAACAGTGCAGCAGATGTGCACAGTTCTTCATATCCAAACTGGCAAACTGCTCTACCAAAAACAATACCATATGTGTCCGCGCCACTCAGGAAAGCTACTCCCCTCTTTTGTCTCCAAATAAAAACCAATAGTGGTTTCTATTAGTAATTAGTACAGGTGGACCGGCTGGTGTCCTGGTGCAGTGGTAACAACCTGGAGCTGAACGCCCAGAAGACAGTGGAGATGATTGTGGACTTCAGGAAGAGCACTGTCCCCCCGCCCCCACCCTCCGTGATGGACTCCCCCATCACCTCTGTGGAGTCCTTCCGTTTCCTGGGCACCACCATCACCCAGGACCTCAAGTGGGAGCCGACCATCAGCTCTCTCATCAAGAAGGCCCAGCAGAGGATGTACTTCCTGCGGCAGCTCAGGAAAGCCAAGCTGCCTGCACAGATGTTGGTGCAGTTCTACACGGCCATCATCGAGTCCATCCTCACCTCCTCCATCACCGTGTGGTTCGCTGGAGCCACAGTCAGGGACAAACAGAGACTACAGCGCATTGTGCGCTCTGCAGAGGAAGTGATCGGCCGCAGCCTTCCATCGCTGCAGGACCTGTACGTCGCCCGAGCTCGAGGCCGGGCTGGTCGTATCACAGCCGACCCCTCTCACCCTGCACATGGACTATTCCAACCACTCCCCTCAGGCAGGAGGCTGCGGTCCATCAGGACTAGAACCTCCCGCCACAAGAACAGTTTCTTCCCCTCTGCTGTTGGACTCTTGAACACTTCTTAACCTGTCCCCCCGCCCTTTATAAAGTCACTTTACTGCCCATCATACGTCACTTTACTTCACTGTACTGCTGTCACCTTACATTGTGTGCACCATGTGCACTTGTATATTGTAAATAGTAACTGTAACTCTATTTTAAATTTAAATTTATTCTTTAGAAGTGTTTTTTATTCTTATTTTTATTATCTCTTTTTGACTGTTGCACTGAGCCAAAGCAATTTCCAAGTCTGTGACCTCCCGTTACTTACGTTGGCAATAAAAATGATTCTGATTCTGATTCTGATTCTGATAATTACAGTCAGGGCAAAGCACATTGAAGGAACCATGCATTTCTGACATTGGGTAATTAAAGAGAGGAGCATGGGGGAAAGTCTTGGCAAACTAACAATAGGCAACAAGAGCCAAACACCAGAGTGTAGAGTGTTGTTCCATCCAAAGTCTTGCATTTGTGCAAGATCAAACTCTTTTTATCCACAGGCAAGACAGCCTTTTGAGTCTAAGCAGTGAATAAACAAACATTTAGCCATAATGAGCATTATGGCTAAAACAAAGATGGAAACCTGGGATTTAAATTCAATGTGTGACATTTGGGGATCTTAGAAATCCTTCCAAGTTATACACACAAAGCCAAGATCTGATTCTGAAGTGAAGAGTTGGGTACTTCCAAGAACATAACAATACAGTATTCATC